AAAAGTATACAAGACGAGTGTGGATGGAGAGTTGGAAAGGGGTCGACCTCAGGCGAACGTACCTCAATCAGATTGAGGACATTTTTAGCAAAGGCCAGCTTAGGAGTACCCTAATTAAGTTAATAACAATGTACCTACCTATATAGTTTAAGTTTAAAAAATTTGGCTCTCAAAAGAAATTTCAATCGTTGTACTGTTGATATTTGGCTCTGTTGACTAATGAGTTTGCCGACCACTGCACTACCCCAAAACCAAAACCAGACACTGGCCTCTGCTAATCTTGGGAAAGGAAAGGAAGATTCCAGCTGAAATACACAGTAATTCTTAACTTGTCTCCAAGGTCTCTAAGCATCATTTCTGCCCTAAAACCTGTATGGGATGCAGCTCTGCTCAGGAGACACAGGCCTGAGTATAGGCTTTTGTTTCTCCAGCCACATTCTCTGAACTTGGGGGCAGTCAGTGTGAGCGCTGCAGTCTCCTAACTGGAATCAGCCCCTTCTCGGCAGTCATGTGAAGCTGGTTTAGGGAAGGCGGGAGTCTCCAGAAAAGTCCACTGCTGAAGCAGTGCTGTCCCTGCCTTGCAGTCCTCCTGGCTGGAAGGTCACTGGGTTGCTTGTGGTCCAAAAGGCAGCAGCCCTTAGGGTTCCCCCGAGAGTCAAGTCTGTGCTCTGTCAGCCATTCCCAGAGGGTTTGAATTCAGAACCTGACACACCTAAAATTATTGGGACCCCAGAGAGCTTTTGTTTAAGTTGTCTGTTGATATTTACTGTATTTGGCATTTCCAATAGAGACATTTACTTATTGTAAAACAATAAACCCTTGTATATTAACATGAATAACATTTTACTGAAACTATTTTCCAAGACAAAACCAACTTAAAGAGAAAGGTGGCATTGTTTTACCTTTTTGCAAATCTCTTTTATGTCTGGCTTAACTGGCAGCAGTTTGACTTTCACATTTGCTTCTAGAATACTGAGAGTGACCCATGAAAACGGAAACAATGTCTTAATGTTGTGTAGATAGTTTGACCTTGGAGACCTCGAAAAGCTTACGGACCACACTGAGAACCTTTGCTCTAGAACAGGGGTGGGCAAACTTTTTGACTCGAGGGCCACAATGGGTTCTTAAACTGGACCGGAGGGCCAGAACAAAAGCATGGATGGAGTGTTTGTGTGAACTAAGATAAATTCAAAGTAAACATCATTACATAAAAGGGTACGGTCTTTTTTTTTAGTTTTATTCATTTCAAACGGGCAGGATCCGGCCCGCGGGCCCGTAGTTTGCCCACAGCTGCTCTAGAATCTAGATAATGGTTAGGAGTGCTTACTTTTGAGAAGTTCACGTTTTAAGAAATAGTTGACTCCCGACTTTAACATGGGAGGGGGGATGAATTACTTTTAGGAAGACAGGCAATGTCTTTGCATTTTACTTGCAACCACATTACTTGCTTTTTGGAAAAAGGCTGGTTTGTGGTCATGGGTGAAAGTGTTTCGGGGCACACCTCCCCTCCGCCTCCCAGTGGACTGCCTGAAGTGAGGCCAGGGTGCCGGCTGGAGGGGGCGGGGGGGGGGGGAGGAAGACTGCTTTTAGCTGTAGGGCACTCTGCCTTGTAGGTGAGATGCCTGAATGGGAGAGGCCCTTGGTTTTGTATGTTAAATGGCACTTGGCATTTGTTGTAGGACATCCTTTAATTATACACAGCCTCTGTAACACCACCACTAGCTGCAGTGAAAATGGGTTGAGAGTGGCCTGTATGGGGGACTGTGGATGACCCCAGGAGACCCCAGCAGGGCACTGGGATCTTGTAGCAGTACCCCCAAGAGGTGCCAGAAGGAAGTCCAGCACAGATGTAATTGGGGCCCAAACAGAAAGTGTGGATATAAAAGCAGTAGAGTGGCCAATTGTGGGGGGTCCTGGATTCTTTGTGTGTGTGCATTTATTTATATTCCTTTTTTTTTTTTTTTTTTTTTTCAGAAAGGGAGGGAGGGAGAGAGAGAGAGAGAAGCATCACTGATGAGAGAGAATTATTGATTGGCTGCCTCTGCACACCCTACATTGGGGATTGAGCCCACAGCCCCGGGCACGTGCCCTGACCAGGTATAAAACCATGACCTCCTGGTTCATAGGTCGATGCTCAATCGCTGAGTCACGCTAGCTGGGCAGGTCCTGGATTCTTAATTAATAGCTACAGGACTTGGGATATTCAAGGAAAGGAGTCCTTGAAGTGCCCAGCAGGGATAACTGGCAATTGATTGATTGATTGTTAGTTAATCCTCACCCAAGGATATGCTTTTCCATTGCATTTCCGGGGGGGCGGGCGCATCGATTTGAGAAAGACATATCCACTGGTCGCCTCCTGCGCGTGCCCCAAGGGTATGCTCATGTTCTGTGGATCAACAGCGAGTGTTTGTGACTGCGGATCTATGGAGTAGATGAGGGCAGCTACCATCAATGCTTGAAAAATGGCACACACTCGGGACATCCTGTGTGGTTGGAATTTCTGGGTATATTCTCATTAGTGACCACCCCATTAATAGAAACTGAATTGTGTGACTCAGAATTAAAAAGTCTGAGTCACCAGAGTCTATAATGGCAAGGTTATGTTGTAGCTTTGGATGTAGTTTCTGACTGGCAGATCAGAATTGTTTCAGAATTTAAATGGTTAGTTGTGAATGTTGTTCTGTGGATGTGAGGTGTGGGCAAACATGGTTTAGCCACCAGGTGGGACAGGTCAGCACTGGGTGGTCTCTTTGATAAGAAGTGGTTGTCATGCTGAGAGTAGGATCCACATCGTGGTTGGTAGCATATTGTAAAGTGACTTAGGGACATGAGTCTCTTCACTGTATAGCACTGCACCACTCGAAACAGGCCTCCAGCGTGCTCTGTGGTCATGGGGTCAGCCTTCAGCTCCACCATGGTCACAGTCGCACCACTGACATTTGTATTTGTTTTGTAAGTAACACATAACATCTTAGAAAGGTATTTATGCTTTTTGTTTTTTAAACTTTTTGGGGGGTATTTTTATTGATTTCAGAGAGGAAGGGAGAAGGGAGGGAGAGAGAGAGAAACATCAATGATGAAAAGAGAATCATTGATTGGCCGCCTCCTGCATGTCCTCACCAGGGCATTGCCTGCAACCTGGGCATGTGCCCTGACCAGGAATCGAACCTTGACCTTCTGGTTCATAGGTCAACAGTCAGCCCCTAAGCCACACCAACCTGGCTTTTTGCCTTTGATTTTAAGAAATTCACTTCTGACAGCCTGACAGAGGTAGAGAATGGAGGGCAGAGTGAGGGTTGTTTTAGAACAGGTTTGGTGGAAGGCAGTGTTGGGTCCCTTCTGATAATGAAGCCCACGTCTGTGTTAGTGCTGTGCACGGGTGCGGTGTGTTCTTACACTGATAGAAATACCTTGTCACAGGAGTCTGTCCTCAGTGTGTCCCTGAGTGTCTCCACTGTGATAGTTGACATTGTTTGCCTTCTTTGCTGAGTTAACTGGTGGTGGTGCCGAAGCAAATTCGATTGCTGACATCAAACCCTATAGTGTGCTCTCCACCTCTGCACCAGCCACTTGGTGGTTATGCGCTGACCTATGAACCAGGAGGTCATGGTTCAATTCCCGGTCAGGACACATGCCCTGGCTGCGGGCTCAATCCCCAGTGGGGGGATGTGCAGGAGGCAGCCGATCAATGATTCTCATCATTGATGTTTCTATCTCTCCCCTTCTCACTTCCTCTCTGAAATCAATAAAAAAAATTTTTTTAATGTGCCAGTCTCCCTTACTGTCTTTGGTGAAGCAATAAAGACTATTTTATTAAATCTCAGCCGATAGTGTACATCTTCCTACCACTCCCTGTGATGAAGTGGCGGGGATGCAGTAGCACCTCTCCTCCACCCCAGATGGGAAGGGAGACTGTCTCCAGGGGGTGCCCCTGGGGCTGTTGGGACCTGAGCCATTTGTACTTGAAAGGACTACTGACAGGCTGCAAGTTTTCAGACTGGCATTTGGTGGGCATTTTCTTGAAGATGAAGGATGTGAGTCTTAAGGAAAACTGACATATTTGTTCCTAACGATAAAATTCCAGGTTTCAAATGAGGGTTAGAATCTTGAAAAGCTTCTATCTGCCATTGTGAGCTTGATGGCTTCCCAGTGATTAAAGCTGTTTGAGGAGACAGATGCCAATATTACTAGCACGTGTGTGTCCTCCGTGTCATCTGATGGACCATGCTGCGTTTGGACTTGCGTGAGTTGGTGATCCAGATGACCATATGGTTTCTGTTTCTGTGTTGCAACTAATGTTTATGACACTACTGCTTGTCAAGGCTTGGTATGGGGTAGCAAAGAACACCCACAATTACCTGGAAAGTTTCTTGTTTTAATTTTGGAAATAACAATATATTTCACATAAACAAAAGCTCTTTGGGGTTTTCAGTTTTTAAGAGTGTGGAGAGCCCTTGGGACCAAAAAGTTGGAGAGTTGCCTTTCAAGGACCTTGATGCAAGATCTTGTTCCTGGATTCCATTTAGCCATTGGGGTTGCCCTGTAGGTACACAGGCTCATGGTTGATAGCAGCTGAGATTTTTAAACCTAAGGTGTCAAAGAATTATTCCTACCTCAGCTTAGCAGGGAAGGGAGCAGTCTTCAGCTAAGAACAAAAATTGCGCTTATGATGGGTTCCCCGCCCCCCTCACTTTTTCAGGAATGCCCACATTTTTTCCTTTGGGAAAGTTGTATTACTCTGATGTGAATGAAAGTTTATGACCTGTTCTCTTTGCGTGGTGTAAAGGGTTACACGCTTAATTGTGTTAGGAACTTAGCACTTGACTATAGATGTAAATATGAAATATAAAGAAGTCCAGATAAATGAACCAAATTGTCTAAAATGTCGTGTATTCTGAATAGAGTTTATCTCATTCCACTCCATAGAAATATTTGATTTTTTTCTTTTCTGATGAATTTTTCAACACTTAAGTCAAATCCAGATATATGTTGGTCTTTCAGAGTAACATGAATTAAAAAATTTTTCATTCCTGAGAACATCTTAAATTTTGTTCTTGGGGTTTTGAAATATAAAAGTAAGGTTTATTTCCAGTTTCTTCTGAGAAGTAAAGTTTCTGAACCATTGTAGACTCATTTTGAGACCGATTTACCACCACATTTAAGAGATTTGGTGGCTGTGGTGACCTATTTTGCTAATGGGGTGAAATGGTCACTGTTGCTTTAAAAGGAGGGGCATCAGAATGTTTGTCTTTATTCTGAGTCACTAAGGAGACCACAGTTACAGGAGGCAGTTGGAGTGAGGCTAGGAGGAAAGAGGTGAGGTGGGTCCCCTTGGTTGGGGTGAGACTGAAATGTGTCAAAAGTAATACTTAGGGTCCCTCAGGGAACTGAGGCGCTTTTCGTGGGGCTGAGACCAAGTGAGGCCGTTCGTTTGTTCATTCAAAAGAGGGTGTAGGAAGAGAGATGTTTTTAATATAATACATGACCTGTACTACTATGATGCTCGATTATAAAGTCTTTCTCAGGTTTTTTAACTCAAATGATGGTGTAGATGTAGAATTAAGATTTTTTAAAATATATTTTATTGATTTTTTACAGAGAGGAAAGGAGAGGGATAGAGAGTTAGAAACATCAATGAGAGAGAAACATCGGATCAGCTGCCTCCTGCACACCCCTACTGGGGATGTGCCCGCAACCAAGGTGCATGCCCTTGACTGGAATCGAACCTGGGACCCTTGAGTCCGCAGGCTGACGCTCTATCCACTGAGCCAAACTGGTCAGGGCTAGAATTAAGGATTTTTAAATAATTATTTAATTTTGTTGTTCAGCCTTCTCATATTTTGTTTGTTTCTCTCTCTGTTGGGTTTTATTGAGAAATAGGATTGATTGGGTAATAGCTGACACCTGATTACTGGTTGTGGCACCCACTACCCCACCCCACCAGGGCCTGTTTTCTCTTATAGCCAGCTCCACCCTCCACCCCTGTCCTGGTCCCCATGTGGTCACAGTATTTTCTCTAGAAGTCCTTGAAGGAAGGGAACTGTGTGTTGTTGTTTTGGGGGGGGGGGGGGGGGGGCTTGTTTTTTTTTTAAAAAAAATTTTAATGTAGTTTAATTTATAGTTAAGACTTATAAACCATCTTCTTTCTTTTAGGAGCTCACTCGTGTGAATGGTCTCACGATAATCTGTGTAGTCGTCAGTGAGCAGTGACTGGCGGCAGCAGTGTTTGAGGCCTGGCTGTTTGCTTAGACCAAGTGCTTGCAACGGTCAGGCTGGGTTTTTTGAATTCAGGACTTCTGGAGGTGTCCCAGCGTTCAGTGTCTGGCGGGTAACGTATCATTAGTGTTAAATGTCAACAGCAAAACCTTAAAAGTTTGAAGTTGTGTTTTCTATTTCTAAAGTGGCATTATATGTAAAGAAGGTGATGCAATGTAACATTCATATATGTTTGAGACATTCTAAACTTTGAAAAGTTTTTAGGTGAATATGGAATGATGTTTAGAATTGTTCTTTTCACCTTTTCTAAACTTTTGTGTGCATTCAACTGAAAAAGATAACTTACAGGTGTTTTGGTGCCCACATTCAGCTTATAAAAATGTAAAAGACTATTCACACACACACTCACACACACAAAAAACAATTAGCTCAAAATGGAAAAAAATAACAATTTTATTCAGAGCAATTATTTTCCCATTGGTTATTTTATTAGTGCATAGAACTTGACGTCATGCGTTCTCTCTGTGGTGAAATGTACCTGCAGAGGAGATTTCCTCCTGCCGGAAACCATCCCTGCCGTGGGGTCGGGCTCCTTCCCCAGCCCTGCGGTAGCTTCATAGGCTCAGTCCCAGACCCTCTGAAATGGAGGGACTGTGGCTCCCTGCACTGCTTGTGGGCAAAGGCTGGTTCAGGCCCCTCACACTTTGCCTTGGGTAGGAATTGAGAATGGTGTATGAAATAAGGGCTTGATCCTCTTTTAAGGTGGCCCTCAGGTTTGCTACGAGTAGATTTGCAAGAGGAGAACACTTACCCTAAGGAGTCAGATTTCTAGGCCAGACGGGCAAACAGTTGTAACTAGTGTGGTTAGTAACAGCTCTCACACGCACACGGAAGGATCACGGCCCTGTTCTTGGGAGCGTGAGTGCTGCTTCTCACATTGGAGCTCACAGCATTATGAGGTCAGCATTGCCTCCTGGATGCAGGCAGTTCATGTGACTTGCTCAAGGTCACCAGCCAGAGCACTCTGTGTTGGAAGCTCCATAAGGACCTCACTTTAGTTCGGCTGTGACTAAAGAAGTGGTGTGGTCCTCCATGGCACACATGCTAATGACACAGCCACTCCTGCAAGCTTCTGAGTGGTTGGGAGCATGAGGCCAGATTCTAGGGTGAAGGGTGTGCGGAGCTGGATGGGAAACGGGGTGACAGCATTTAGTGGGAATAGAAAGGAGTCAGGTTGCATATGGTTTTGAGTTTTGTGTATTTTATGTTTTGAAGGTCTTCATTCTATACCAGTCCTTCCCCTAGGATGGAACATGGTGTAAAGTCTGAGTCATCACTAGCATTTACATGTGATTGAAGCCTGGACAGCTCGGAAAATAATTCTTAAGGTACATACTGTGTTCTTTGGGGTTTTATTATTCTCAAATAGGAGTAACGTTTTCACAAGCATGACCCTTCAGTAATCGTATTAGAAGGAAAGGGAAAGGAAGAATAGGGAAAAGAAACACACGTTCAAAGTAGCCAAGGTTCAGTATTTCCTATGTGTCCTAGTCATCTGTTGTTACGTAACAACTACCCCTAGAACTCGTACTTTTGTAGCTACTAAGTCAGAGCTCAGCTGGGCTGTGGTGCAGGTCCAGCACACACCCTCTCCATGGGGTCTCTCCAGCCAGGTGGTCGGACTTCTTATGTGACTGCTCAGGGCTCCAAAGCCCAGGACAGGAGCAGCCAGTATTCTCACCTACTGGGCCCGGGACTGGCACAGCGTCCCGTCCACTGTGCCCTGCAGGCAGAGTCCGCCTGACTCAGGGAGGGAAATGGCAGCCACCTCTCATCGCAGCAAACACTGTTCTGGTCATGTCCTTGCTGCCTGGGACTGTGGCTCGGTTGACATTTCCCCACTACCTGTTTTATAAGACCTGGTCCTCACCGGTTAAATGGCAAAGTTACAGATTTGCTAGCTGTTTTTCTTTGTAATATTAGATGTATAACAACTAGGATTTTCTTCAAAAATCGCCTCGAATTATGGCATGGCCTCACACTTGAAGAAACACTGGTCACAATGTCGTTTTTTTACTTGTTTTAACGTCCACCTTCATGGGTAGGAAGCTGTTCCTTCCTGTGTGGTCCTGTGGGTGTCTCCCTCCTGTGGGGTGAAGGCCATGCTCCTCTAGCCCAGGGCCTCCCTGCTCACGTGCCAAGGAATGTGGCCTCATTAATGTTGGTTGTGGTTTGGTTGCATTTCCCCATTAGGTATGGATGAGAAAGGTGACCTGAGCCATGAGGAAGCCCCCAAGGTCATCAAACCCACCAGTAAAGAGTTTAGGAAAACGTGGGGGTTTCGAAGGACCACCATTGCTAAACGGGAGGGCGCTGGGGACACGGAGTTAGACTCTGTGGATCAGCAGCCCCAGCAGCAGCAGAGCCTTTCCTTGCGACGCAGTGGGCGGCAGCCAAAGCGGACTGAGAGGGTGGAGGAGTTTCTCACAACAGTCCGGCGCAGAGGGAGGAAGACAGTGCCTATCTCCCCTGAGGACCCCAGTGAGTCAACCTCTTGCCCAGTCACAGATGTCGAAACCGCTTCTGAGGGGAGCGTCGAGAGCTCCTCTGACAGTAAAAGTGGGCCCAAGGTTGGCCCCACAGGCAGTAAGGGACGACCAGCCTCATCTGCAAAGACCAAAGGAGATGATGGTGAGGATGACACCTCCGATAGTGATAGCGATGGGTTGACCTTGAAAGAACTTCAGAATCGCCTACGAAGAAAGCGTGAACAGGAGCCAGCTGATAGGGCCCTGAGAGGAGTCCAGAGTCGCCTGAGAAAGAAGCGTCGGGAAGAGGGCCCAGCAGAAGCTGTGGACGTGGAGGTGGCCGATGCCATGGAGAGCTCCCCACCCGGCCAGCAAGAGCCGGCAGATGAACAGGCAGCTAGCAGTGACAGAGAGGGGAAGTCAGAAGGGCGGACGACCCCAGGAGTCAAAGAGGAGGATCCTGGAAGCTCAGTCAAGCACAAGCCTGAGTGTGAGGTGTACGACCCCAATGCTCTGTATTGTATATGTCGTCAGCCTCACAACAACAGGTAGGTCATGGGCAAGGAGGTTGCTGGCTGCCCCGGGTTTTAGGGAAATCCATGTAAGAAAAGCAGCGGGATTTAGGGTTATAGAGCCGGGCTGAATGAGCAACTTGTGCGTTGAAAAAGATGAACAAGTCATTGTCAGAAAGGGACTCTGGAGCCATACATTGCATGCACTGTGGTCGCCGTAGGCCACTTGGGGCTCTTCACTGCCTTGGTCACACTAGCCACGTGCAGCCAGCGGCCAGAGTGCAAGGCGGCAAAGACTAAATTACCCACCACCCGCTGTCATCCCAGAGATATCTCTGGGCTGGCACTGCTCTGGTGGTGGTAGGGAGCTGTGGTCTGGTTCTTTGGGTGGGAGAAAGGCATTGTTGCTCTTTTGTGGAGACAGTACTGAGCTGGGGTGGGGGGATATTAAGAACCCTTTAGTTAACTTAAAATGCTCTACTCAAAACAAGATTGAGTGAACTTGCTTGAATGATGAGAGGGTATATTGTGTGTTTTTTATCCTGTCTCTACTTTTCTGTACGTTTGCATTTTTTTTAACAATGTTGAAACCAATTTGTCTAATATTGAGTGTGTATCTCTTTGTTTTCCATTCCTGGTTATTTTCCAATTTCAGGTTTATGATTTGCTGTGACCGATGTGAAGAATGGTTTCATGGCGATTGTGTGGGCATTTCTGAGGCTCGTGGAAGGCTCCTGGAGAGGAACGGGGAAGATTACATCTGCCCCAACTGCACCATTCTGCAGGTGCAGGACGAGCCTAACTCAGAAACCACCGACCAGCAGGAAGCGAGGCTGCGACCTGCAGACGCTGACAGCACTGACTGTACAAGTATCGGGACCATAGAGCAGAAATCCAGTGAAGACCAAGGAATAAAGGGGAGAATTGAGAAGGCTGCAAATCCAAGTGGCAAGAAAAAACTCAAGATATTCCAGCCTGTAAGTATTGCCTCCTGGGTCAGTGATGATCTGACTCCTGCTGACAAACATCAAGACTGAGGAGTTTGGTTCTTTTGGAATAATTTAGGCTTCCCCAGAAGCAGTGTCATGCCTGATGAGGGTGGGCTGGTAGGAAAGCAGTTGTGTTTTGTGCTTTGTGAGCCTCCCCATTCCTGCTCCTGTGGGACTCCATGTCCAGCTCATAGACTATTACTGTTGACTCAACATTTTTCTTAACACATTGTTTGCGGGTAGTTTTTATCGCGCGCTAACAGGTGGCGTGGGCCATTTTTGCTAATTTTTTGCGCAAATGGCAACGTTCAGTAAAATTACGATAACTTTAGTTTACGTATTTATACGTTACCCGCATTCTACCGCTAGTCTATAAAAAACGTATTAATACGTGTCCCGCGCTCGACTACACTGGTAGAACGTATAAATACGTAAAACGTATAAATAGTTTCCCGCATACAATGTGTTTTAACTGAACTGATGGACTGGCTTGTTAAAAATGAGTCTTTCCCTAAGTGTTCTTTATGGAGTCTCATGTAACAAATCACAGTCATCTTGGAGTTACTGAAGTGAGTGTGCCCTTGTCTCAACTGGCACCATCTTGATAGAACTTGGGGTCTTCCCCCCCCCCCCCAAAAAAAAAAGCACTTGTGAGCATTTAATGAACTTCCTTCTGTGTGGCTTCAAGCTAGCAGGACACAGCCTCTGCTAACACCCTTCGTTTTCTCCTCAGCTCTCCTGAAGCACTTGGCCTCCACCGTGACAGTTTTCTGCGGGAGCCTTTCCTTCCCCAGACTATAGTAGTCTGATCGCACTACGTCAGTGATAGGAGCAGCTCCTGTCTTGTTTTTGGCAGCATTTGTGTGTCTGCTCACTAATCAAGGTGCACTTTACCAAGGTTGACAGTTGGGCAGAAGCTTGGGTTCTCTTTATGTGCTGATGCCTTGCACCTATTAGGTGATACTTGCTGAAGTTGATCCTGTGATGATGCAAGCCACCTGCATTACCTCGGCCTCCCGGGTGCTTCCTGTGCTCACTGATGTGGCTGTGGCTCTCTTGGCCCCAAAGTTTTCAGGTCTTCCTCAGTCTGGATGGCATGCTGGTGGCTGAGATGCAAGAGAGCAAGAACTAGTGATCTTGAACCTGCCTTACTGGAGATGCTGAGGGGTGGTGGTGGCAGCTTTCACGTGGCTACTAGGGTTTTAAATGACCTCAGCCAGGGACAGTCCCCAGCCCAGTGTCTGTGGTTCTTGTCCACAGCTCTGTTTACTCCGTCCTTCTTTCCAGCTGGTCTTTAGGGCTGTGATTTTTTTGTCTTGTTTTCCATGGATTGTCAGCTTCCGCTGTGGAGAGCCGTCTTGGGCTCTCGTGATTGCCCTGCTCAGGACATGTTTTCACTCCCAGTCTTCCTGCGTCTCAGCCGCCCCTGGTGTGGTCAGCTGGGCTCGTGAGAGGGCGCCACTGCGGGCGCCACTGCTGGTTGTGCCCCGCCTGTCCTTCTGCAGGTGCCCGGTGGCCAGAAGGCTGCCTTCACACCCTGCACTGTGTTAGTGGGGACTGGAGCCTTCAGTATAGCTATTGGGAGGTACTGCAGGTACTCAATGGAAATATGATACCGTTAACAACTTTAGTCATTAGGAAGCGTTAACAGAAATGTAAATTAGTGGGGAAAGCCACCCTAATTTTATGTCTTTATTGTCAGTGTGTTTGAAACTATGTACGTTTAATTTTTATCTTGAGTGAAACTTGGAATCAGTGGAAGAAAAACTATTATCTTAAGTACTTAATGTGAGACATAGATTTTGCTCAAGAACATTGAGGGATGTGTTTGTATGTTTGGTCTCAGCTTGTGATAACATCAGGTTTCTAGCACCACAACTACAGACTTAGCAGGAAAACACGTACTTCTTAGCTCAGTTTCCACGGGTCACAAATGGCTAAGCCAGGCCCTCTGCCCAGGGTTGTCCTAGGCTGCATCCCAGGGGCCAGTGGAGGCCAGGGTCTCAGACCTGGCGGGTGAAGATCCACATCCAGAAGCTTCCATGTCTGTAAAGGTGTCCTGTGTGGTTTTGTAGCATGTTATACTGAAAAGGTATTTGTTGTTTATCTGGGCTCTCTCCTGCACCCTCACCCTCAGAGCCAGCCACTGATGGCCCTCACAACAGGGCCGCTTTCTTCAGAATGAGCAGCAATGTCTCCTCTCCTTTAACAGGTCCAGTTTCTCTGTTAAACGTTTTCACCTGATTGAATCAGACCCTTTCAATTAATTCAAAAGCATCTTAGTTACCTCTAGAACAGACAGACAAACAAAAACCCCGTATGCGGGAACCTAACTGTGGGTGAGAAAGCACATCTGCAAGGGCAGAGTTGTGTTCTCCACGAGTGGCATGAAGGCAGAAGGTGCATGTCTTAGACAGGGAAGTCGATTCCTGTGCTTTGAATAAGTGAAACATAAGTTTTATTCACATTAAACATACTGTTAGTGTCTCTTGATTAAAAACAGTCCCCTCAGTACTAGAAATGGTTTTACTTTACCTTAACTGCTGGAATTGGTAAGTCTGAAGTCATGTGTTCTGTTCTGCAGGTCACAGAGTCTCCTGCTGCCGCAAAGTGTATTGGGCCTGGGTGCTCTAGCGTGGCGCAGCCCGACTCTGTCTACTGCAGCAGTGACTGCATTCTGAAACATGCTGCTGCCACCATGAAGTTCCTGAGTGCAGGGAAGGAGCCAAAACAAAAACCCAAAGAAAAGACCAAGACCAAGACGAAGCCAGAAACGCTCGTTCTTCCCAGATGTAGTGTTGAGGTAAGCTGACCAAGACCACCACCCCCATTGCAAGAGTCAAAGCATAAGTGTACTCATGTTCCAGACTCGCTGGCTTGTTTGTAGAGTGTAGGGGACAGCGGCATAGATGTAAGTCAGGTGCCGTCCCCTCTCCTGTTGTCCTCCACCTTTTCCACCAGTCCTGTTGTCAGAATTACCAGTGAGTATATATCCTCACATTTTCTTTTCTCTGCCCTCTAGCTGAGGGATTGACTAATACGGGCACCGTAAAGCAAACCCAGGCAGCTGGCTGCTGTTCCTAAGCCAGCCATCTCCCAAGAACTGTTGGTGACCGTTCAAGCCCATGTGGGAAGCAACGTCACAGGCAGCCAGCAGGGCTGGGGAGTGGGCTCTGAGGCAAGACTGTCTCACTGTGAGACCTGGCTCTCAGGTGGTCTGGCTTTGAGACACACGTGACTTGTGAAGAGTCAGGGTGTTTTAAGAATCACTTGACTCCCACTTGCATGCCTTCCTGGAGTTAGCTTAGGTTGGCATGGCCGTTGGATGGCCCCATTGCACTTGTATTGAGCAAGCCTAATGGAGTGTTTCCTTGACATAGTTGAATGCTTATTTAGCGTTTAGATGGCCTAACTTTTATTTATTTACTTTTGTTAATTCCTTACCTGAGGGTATTTTTTCCATTGCTTTTAAAGAGAGGGTAAGGGAGAGAGGGAGGGAGGGAAAAACATTGATGTGAGAGAGACACGACTGGTTGCCTCCCGCACGCGCCCCAACTGGAGAAGGGGAGCAAACCCAAAACCCAGGTACGTGTCCTTGACCGGGAATCAAACCCGAGACCCTTTAGTTCACAGGTGGATGCTCTAACCACTGAGAAACACCTGCCAAGACTAGATGGCCTGATTTTTATTTGTTTTTGTTTTTTATTTCAGAGAGGAAGGGAGAGGGAGAGAAGGATAGAAACAGATAATGAGAGAGAATCATCAACAACTGCCTCCTGCACACCCCACACTGAGGACTGAGCCCACAACCCAGGCATGTGCCCTGACCGGGAATCGAACCATGACCTCCTGGTTCATAGGTGGACACTCAGCCACTGAGCCATGCCAGCTGGGCTAGATGGCCTAATTTTTAAGGCTGGTAATTTTGAATCAACTGCTGTGTCTAGTAAGAGTGACGGTGCAGGATGCCTGATGGAGAGCATGGGAGTGTGGGTCCTGGCCTTGTTGCCCAGCGTCGCCCTCTCCCACAGTGTTGTGGGCAGGCACACTCTCAGAGAGGCCCTTCCCACTTGGGTCTTGCCTCTTTTCACCACCTGCTCAAGGGACTTGTTCTGTGTTACCCTGGCTGCCTCACACCTCAGCTGGATGACAGTTATTCTGTGTTGGGCCTCATGTCACTCAGAAGTTGAAGCCCTTCCCAGCCATTGTGGTGGAATGCTGAAGGCTCAGTTGGTGGTGAGTCCTGCTGAGGCCTGGTGCTGAGCAGGCGTGGTGCCCAGGCTCAGGGTGGGGTGGGAGTGTGAGTGACCTTAAGCATGTTCTCACCTTCATTGAGAAGGGAAGTGAATGAAGGTTGACTTTTGATCTCCTTAATGATTGGGGTTTTACTGATTATCCAGGCAGGCATTAAAGTCTCTTCTGTGCCCAAGAGACCCGCTCCAGACAAGAAAGAGAATGCCATGAAGAAGGCAGTGGTGGCCCCTGCTCGGACTGAGGTCCTTGTGAAGGAAACGACTTGCGAGAGCAGCACGCCGTCCTGGGCGAGCGACCACAATTACAATGCAGTAAAGCCAGAACAGACTGCTGCCCTGTGGCCGTCACTGTTGTATAAATGTATGTATCATCTAGGGGTGGCTTCTGGACCCTTCCCTGTCTTTCTGGATGTCTGTCCACTCAGGACTGTCCAGAACTAGGAGGTGTAACCAAGCTCAAAGCTGCACCTCCAGGGATGGAAGCAAATACCAGGGAGCCCCAGGGGCTCACGCTTAGCCTGTTTCCCACAAAGCCCGCAAACCTCAGTGTTGACTGTGGCACCTGGCAATTGAGGTCTAATCTGTTTTCATTATCAGACACTGGTAAGTATTTAGTATTGTTGCCAACAAAGTCCAGTGAGCAGGTACTCTTGCCCGGCACTCCAAGTTCATCACCATCCACACTACAGGTGCATCATTATCACCGCTCTGTTAGCTGCACAGGTTTCCACACTGCCCTTTAGCACGTGTGGCCATCACTTCTTTTGTGTGTGGGGAGCTCTTTCTGCCAATTGATGATGCAGTGATAGTCAACTAAAGTACAATTTCTGAGCTGAGAAATTTTTCTTGTTCAGTACACATTACATATCCCCATAAACACACTCCTGGTCTCACACACCGAGCGCCGTGTGTCTCAGGTAAGTGGGCGAGGTGTCTCCTAAAGCAGACTCCACCAGGGGCCTCCAGACTTCTCTGGACGCCGGACTGTAGGTCGTGCCTCCCCACCCCCAAAAAATGAGGAGTTGAGGTCTTGCCAGTCAGTCTGTGAGATCCCAGATTTGCTTATGCAGCAGGACCTTTGGTTTCTTGTTTTTCATCCTAACTCTCCAAAATTAAATTGGTCTGCAGGGCACATCTTACTCTATTACTAAGATTGTTTTTATTCAGTTTTTTTGTGCTATTTTTTATACTGTTTTACGCCTTTTTTTAAAGCACTGAAAGGTTTAAAAGCCCTGAATTCCAAGATTATAGGGCTCTTCTGCCTTCTCCTTTTAGTCACCTTTTAACAGTCACTGAGGGAGGATACCTGTAGGTAGGCGCTGGACTAGTATAATTAGAAAATGTGTAACTAAATGCTCACTTTGAGAACATAAATGGCCTAATACCTAAGTAAATTGCAAAGTAATACTAGATTTTTTTATTATTTTAGGAATACGTTGTTAAGTACAATTAAACTATAGCACGCCTGTGAAGTAGCACTTTTATAGAGGCTGTGAGCATACCTAAAAACATACATCACTTACGTGTGAACGGATGGTAACCGTGACTTTGGAGTCCTGTGTACTGTGCTCTAAGTGGGTTACAGGTTACAGGATGCAGCAGAATCAGGAAACCCGGGCACATCTACCAAGGTCCTGGCGACTGATTTCCATCTGTTGACTAGAGCTGGAAAGCTGCTCTGAGGCACCCTGTGCGGAGTTATGAGGACAGGATGGCTCTTCTCCCTGGACTCTAATCCCACTGTGACCTTGAGAGAAGAAAGGAATTGGGGGTGGGGAGATACACCAGGGGCCCATTTCTCTGCTCACAGACTGGGTCTTCTTTTCTTCTCCACCTCCTCTCTCCATATCAGCTCCTCCCTGAAGCTTCATGGGCTTCAAGTTGACAGAAAGTTGAAACAAACTAATGACTAACCCTTCCTAGCACACTGACGCCAATTAAAACTGATGGATATCCAGAATTGATTGAGTGCAGGGGGGACATTTTTGAGTTGCTTTTGATCATTTTTTTTTGTTATCCCAGAAATGTCATCTTCCCAAAAAATGATTGGGAAGGGTCATTGGAAAAATACTGACTTCAGCCCGGGTGAGTAGCAGTTGTGTCTACCTCTGACCCAGATCATCCTTTCACAGTTGCTGTAGCACACACAGAACCCTGCGGCCCCATGAGGACCCCCTACCTGCCGCCCTGGCCGGCTTCAGAATGGGCTTTTCTGGGTTGGGATGGTGAGATTCAGGGTGCACCTGATGCTGGGACACTGGCCTGGGCATGTGGAGCCTCCTTCAGCCCAGAGAGCCAGGGTGCTGCTCCTGGAGGTGCTCTGTGCTGCCTGGATGTGGATGCAGGGACAACTGTCAGGGTACATGGTGTGGGACCCTCCGGTAAACCACGTCGAAGTTTGCTCTTCCTCCTCACGAAAGTATCAGTAGGTCCTGCGTGCTCTCAGGGTAATGCTATTAACATACACTCATTCCTGATTGATTTCTTTAAATTGTTTTTGAGGTTTTCTGTACTTGTGGAAACAATTGTTTTTTAATTTCTCCCCCAAATCAATCATATTTGTGCTTTTACAGTTTTATTTTTTTCCTCTTTATTTCCACTGTTTGTTTGCCTTCCTTATTGTTAAAGCATGGAGAGAGCTTAACCTTTTTTTTCTTTCTTTCTTTTTTTTTTTTTTTTTTTTCCTAAAATGCCCCAGGTTTATTAGAAAGAATATGGAAGTGGAATTCTGGTATTTGTATTCTAGTATTTTGGGCTCCTTAAATGTCTCAATAGGTGACTTAAAACACGGGATCTAAACAAATTTTGACTGAAATACGAGATTTCTACAGTTTATCTAGCTTTGAGAATTAAAATGGAAAACCCTAAGGGAACCAGGACACCCAAATCCGGATGGTTTGTTAAGCATGGTGCCCAGATACAGCATTTCCCCCCAGTCCAGTCCATGTGTGGCCATGCAGATCGTCCACGAGCTGTGAGAAGTGGATGGAGAACACGGACTCTCACGAGGGTGACTAATGGCATGGGCTCCAGGAGCATATTTCACAAATCATCAGAGGAAACAAGTTTCCTATAATAAAATATGTAGGGGATTCTAGAACCCAAGCATATTTTGTAGACATTTAAGCGGGGACAGGGGGGGTCTTTTGCTTTATCAGCTGCGTGAGCCATTTTTACCTGTCTCTTCCAGGATTGTCAGTAGCAATAAAATGTGGCTGGGACAAACCAGACTTCGTCCATATGAACCAATTCCCCTCCTACCTCTCCCCCACCCCCCAGAGGAAAAACCAAAGCTTGTACTGATGGATTTAGCTTGACAACTGTTTTTAATGCTCTCCATACAGCCGCAATTTTCTTGGTTGTCAGTGACATTCTTTTGGTATTTTACAGTGTTGTACTTTTATAACATTAAAATACCCAACTGCTCAGGTAATTATATCGGGGAAAGGTTTCATGTACATAAACATTTGAGATGAAACCCCTCAGCAGCACGCTGTGCTGGAGCCCCAGGGGAGGGGGGGTGCTAAAAATTCCACCTCAGGGTGGGTCCTGCTCCCTCCACCTGCTCTTCAGTGACCTATGACCTTTTGGAGCTTTGGGCCCATCTGATACTGCTTGCCACTCTGGTGGCATCATCAGTGTTAGAGCCCAAGTGCCCCTTTGAAGACGCTGCTGCAGGTCTTCCAGTGTGCTACACAAGTCGTGGGTATATTTGTATAAAATCATAAAATACTATTCTTGATGTTTGTGCATGGCACAAAACTGCACATAGTTATGTTCTTAGCTTCTGAGAATTAAAGAAGTAAACTTAGAAGATGGATAAGAAGTTTTGCCACTTTCATTTGTTTAAATGAAAGAGCATCTGTCATTGCACGGGTGGACCTGGAGGAGCTCGGCAGGAAGAGCGCCAAGGTAACTGCTGCCTAGCCGCTGCATCTGCACGGCCACCCACCGGCCCTGGGTGTCCACTCGTGACCCTTTGTGACCTGGAGCTCACAGGGAGGATCTAAGACCCCTGCCCCCATCATATTGGTTGAAGTAGTAAACAATTTGGGAACAGATGATGTTGGTTAAACTGTAGCCTTATTAACGTGAGGAGACTGCCTGGTGACAGTGCTGAGATGGCGGGAAAGCGGCAGCTGCGCTCCCCAGGCCACCGCCCCGCCAGGCTGTCTGCCCCGTCCTCTTGATTACATGCCTGGCTCCCCATGAGGCCTTGATCACATTATTCTAGTGTTCGTGGTGAAGAATAATTGGGTCAGTTGTTTCATATGCTGTCAGTCCAACATGAATTTGCAAAACCCTGTATGTGAGACTTAAAATGAAGAAGGGCATTAACCTCCAGATACATACTTGGTTTTTGCAAGTTTCTTTGAAGAGTTCTAGGCACCTCTCCATTTATGTGTAAATCACCCAAATATGATATCAGACAAGTCAACTGGAAAAGATTTGTGGCCCAAACCACAGCCGTTCAGACCTCTTTAGGGACATCCCAATGATAGAGCGTCTCCAGTCTGAGCAGCAGCTGGGAGGTGGCTTACACTCAAGTGTTCTCTAGGAATTTGTGTTTTCTAACAAAAGCAAATCAGAACTTACTGAAAAACTCAAAATATTTAAGCAAATGCATAAAAGCAAAATGATTTCTTGCTGTTACTTGATTATTTGGGAAGAATTTTAACAGGAAACCCAGGTTGCAGTGAGAAAGTACCTGGGTCCCGCTGAGCTGAAAATAGAACTGAAGTCACCACGAACAATTCACGTCCATGCTTTCTCCACTGTGTCGTCAGAGCCCCTCTCTGGCTCTGTTACAGAGACGGCTCTCTCAGTGGTAGCTGCCTCAGTCTGACTGCAAGCGGATATGGGACCCAATGGGTGGTGGTGGTAGTGTGGAGCAGGGTGCTGAGTCAGTGGGCAGCTCCAGGGAGGGGACCCCTGCCAGGGCCTCTGTTTGCTTCCCTGCACCTGCCATAAGGTTGGCTCACTGTCACACCACATGCTCACTTCATTTCTTTGGCTCTTAACAGCCAGTCACTAAGAAGCAGGCCCACCCGGGGCAGCAGTGTGACACTTGGGATTTTGGGGTTTGGGTGGTTATATTGGCATATTGAGAAGGATGCAGTATATATAGCATTATGCAATTGCTCTGAGGGCTTTTCACCAGGCCCTGTGCCTGTGCTGGTTGGGTGTACCCCCATACTTACTTGCAGTCGTGCTATAACTTCATTTGGGTGTCTGCAGTCTCCATGTGGCAGACAGCAACAGTGCTGGTGGAGACCCGTGTCCTCCAGTCTTCACTGAGGCCCGCCAGTGCCACCCAGAGGCCAGTGATGCCCCACAGCCTACCTTTGCAGTGTGATAAGGCCCCTCACTCCATGCTTACTGAGCCAATTAGAGTTGCTGATTACCGGTCCCTGAGAACACCAGCCTGCTTAGTTCTACACTAGGCCTCTCCCCAACCTTCCGTTCCCATTACCAACGTGGCCAGCAGGTAGAAACAGTGGTCTGGCCCACAGGGCAGCTCTGTCTCCTATAGCTGCTAAGGAGTCTGGTTCCCCAAGTCAGCCTGGCCTGGAGCTCGGGAACAAGCAGGCCCCAGAGTGGGAGCTAAAGGCGCCTTCACTGCCAGGACAGCCCAGACTGGCACACTCCCAGGGCCACCTCTGCCCACACTGCGGTCACTGCTGATACTGCCAGTCGTGCCACTGCAGATCAGCAGGGAGTTCAGCTGGGGCGGGGGGGGGGGGGGGGGCCTGCCGTCCCCTGAAGCCACCCCAGCATGGGGTGCACTGCTGTTGTTCTAGAATGGGCTCTTCCTCATTGGCTATCAGATTATTCCCTGCCCTTCCATAAGGTAGACACAACATAGAAGTGAATGTAGGTGAAGGTTTTGCAAATTCGATTTTAGCTCTACTCAAAAAGAGTTTCTGTCACTGTGAGAATGTTCTGGCACTGCACTGGAGCCACTGTCATTCCAGAATGTCCCAAGTCCAGCTTTCAGTGGGGCCACACATGCCAACATGTGTAGCAGTTGCTACATGGAAGTTTTTACATGTTTTTAATATGTCCCTTCAAAGTAGAAGAGGTTGGTGGCCAACTTGTTGGAGTCCACTGGTTTCAGACATTTTACCAATAATTGTACCTGTTTATGCCCTTAGGAGGTCAGATAAAGGATAGTGAAGGTTGACTTTCAAGAGGCTAAAGCAACTAATTTTATGAACTAGCATGATGGTTAAGGAAAGTCATCTCTACTTTTTAAGTAGATTGCGTGTGTTCACTGTTACCGCTCTTGGTCACAGGTCATTTTAATTGTGTATGGGAGATGTTTTAAAAGTAACCTCTCAGTGGGTTTTCCCTAAATGAGAAAAACAGGCCAGTTAGACCAGAAGTATTGATCTTAGGTTCTGATCTGGAGACAGACCCAGAGCTTTTGAAGTTAATACAAATGTGTCACATGAAACAGAATGTCCAACAACAAGGTTTGTTCCAGGCCCCAGCATGCAGGTGTCCTGTGTCACAGTCGGGCATCCTCTTCAGGTGTTGGGATGTACCTGGGCCAGGCTTTTAGAGTTCGTGAAACGTGTGCTTCTAGAATACTCCGCCAGATGTGTGTTTATAAAAGGCAGTGACTGAACTGGTTTCAGGTCCCAGTTTTCATCGTCGGCAGTGCACTCCTCCCTGACTGCCGATAGCTGACTTCCCTGCCTGGTGCTCAGTGACCTCCCTCTGAGGCAGTGCCTTAGACACTCAGGCAGCACCGGCTCCTCAGGGCCCAGCCTCTCCCCCTGCCACTTCCCCATTACTGAACCTGAGCTTGAGTGATCCTGCAGGGAAGGCACTGCAGACCTCAGCCACCTCCAAGCTGGTAAAAATGAATTCCCAAGGGGCCTCCTCGGGTACGTGGACTCGGTCTGATGAAGTGATGTGTAGAAATGCTGCTTTTATCTTCGTCCTTGTCCCGTTTCTCACTTTGTCAGACTTGGGAGTGTGCTTTATTTAGAAACCCAGTTCCCAAAGAACTGCAGCCTTAGAGGTGAGCCTTGGTGACGGTAGGCCTGGTAATGACAAGCAGGGCAGGTGGAGAAGCGGCTGGCGGAGACCTGAAGCCCCAGCAAGCTTGGGGGTCTGGTGCACAGACCACCTTAGGCTGGGGTAGGCAGGGGATGTGAGGGCTTTGAGAGGAAAATATGGGATTTAAAGTCAATTGATGATAGAAACAAGGGACTTCCAACACTGTCCTAGCTCTTGGGTCCTGGTGGTGCTGCTGCACAAACTAAAATTGGGTGATTGCACTCACACGATCAAGTGGGAGGAACGAGAGGTCCCTGCATGCCTTTAGGAAAGCCCATTGCTGAAGTGGCCTCACCTGCTGCGGCAGGCGGGCAGTGCTCGGGGTGGTGGCTTGGCCCTCTGCCAAGGGAGCCACAGCTGGTGGTGGTGTCTGCCTGGGCCCTGGAGCATCAACACCTGGGAGGGTGGCATCTGGAGAAAGGGTCTCACCAGCTTCCAGACTTCCTCCCTGATTTACTGGGAGTTAGGAGGAGCTGTGGTGGCTGGCTGGTGGCTGATTTTTAAGCCCTGGGTAAAATTGACAGTTCACTGGAGCATCATCTATTGAAGCCCTGCCCTCATTTGCACGTATGGGAGTCTTAGAGGCGCACTGCTGCACAAGTAGTTTGAGAAAAACCCCACCTACAGGAGCCGCCTTTTACATCGGCCCCTTGGGGCCTGGTCGGTGTCCTGGCTCGCTTACTGGGCCCACCCGTTCCCGCCATTCTGCGTGTGTGTGGAGCAAGGGCCGCCGTCTGTAAACCTGCCAGCCTGGCTTTGGTCAGCTGCACACCCTGGGACTGAGGACGCGGCATCTGTCTGAGAATTGTCTTCCTCGTGTCCCTAAGACCTTAGGTATGAAGGCCTGGCAGGATTAATGTCATCCAGGCTTTAGCATGCTCTCTCTCTAAAATAAAAAATACTGGTGTCAAAATTTTTGTTCCAAGTTGAAGGGTTTTGATAATGTTTTGAGCTTTTGACTACAATTCTTGTTTGGGTTAAAAGCGCTAATTTACGGTCTTAACCAGTAATCAAATACAACTGGTAGTTTTAAATGAGAATGTTTATATCAGAGCATAATCTATTCTTGTCACCTTAGTATTAGAGTGATAAGTCTTCCCATGTTACAGATTTCTGCCAACTTTCCTGTGTTTTATAAATGGCATCGTATTGACTTTTGTCCAAAAGAATGATGAACACTTGTGGGTGACCTCCCCCCAAAGGACTCTTACTACTCCTTCCACAGCCTCAAGGGCTCGGAGGCAGTCTGTGACCAATCCTGAAGAGATGTTTTAAAGTCATGTTTACAAAGAAATTGCACTCGAGTTCTTAGTGAAAGTGCTCTTCTGAATCTGCTTTAAAATATATTTTTATTGATTTCACAGTAAATCATTGTTCTTTAAATAGTTTTATTGATTTCAGAGAGGGAGAAAGAAAGGAACATCAATGATGAGAGAGTATCATTGATTGGCTGCCTCCTGCACGTCCCCTTCTGAGGATCAAGCCCGCAACCCAGGCATGTGCCCTTGACTGGAATCGAACCCAGAATCCTTCAGTCCTCAGGCGGACGCTCTATCCACTGAGCCAAACTGGCTAGGGCCAGTAAAGCATTTCTTTCTGAAATAAAGTATGGTCACGATCATAAATACTGCCAGAGGCCTTAATTACACTCCTTTTCTGAATTTGATAATTACTTTTAAAACGATTTTCCCTAAATCAGTGTCTCATACAATAAAGTCTGGTGACCGTCCCCCCCCTCCACTGCCTGCCCCTTAGTTTTCATACTTAGTATGATTTTAAGGTAAACAGTTGGGGAGGGAGGCATGTTTTCTTTGTATTGGTTTCATGTGTGTACGGCTTAGTGGTTAGAGCTTTGGCCCTTGCTGGTTTGGCTCAGTGGATAGAGTGTCGGCCTGCAGACTGAAGGATCCTGGGTTTGATTCCTGTCAAGGGCATGTACCTCAATTGCAGGCTCCTCCCGGCCCTGGCCCTGGTCGGGGGTTTATGCAGGAGGCAACCAATCAATGTGTTTCTCTCACATCGATATTGCTCTCTGCCTTTCTCTCTCTCTTCCACTCTCTAAAAATCAATGGAAAAATATCCTCAGGTGAGGATTTTAAAAAATCATATACTTCACATAGGGTTCCCCTCAATATTGCCAATACCTCAACTGGGGCCTGGTAAGCTTTGCTAGTTTGAGGCTGAGCATGCTTTTCATGTCACCTGACAGTGCACTGCATGCCCTCCTGCCTCACTAACGTCGTGTGTTCTTTGCAGCCATGAAGGAAGACCGGCAAGTGGAGAACACGGCAGCTGCGATGCCGAAGAAAGTGGCTGCTCAGGGCCCTGCTGTGGGCAGCAGGCAGCCTGCAGCCCGGAGTCTCCTTCCAAAGAAGTCCCCTCCTTTCACAAATGTGACCAAGCCAGTCATCAGGAAGTTGCCTTCAGGCTTCAAGGGCACTATACCCAAGAGGCCGTGGCCCTCGGCTGCCCCCTCGGGCAGTGTTCCTGCCACCAAACAGGCAGGGCTGGTGCCTGGTGCCACCACATCTACTTCCAAAAAGCTGCCAGGCTCCTCTGCCCCTGGGGGAGCTGCCAGGAAGCCCATGGTGACATCTGTCCCCTTGGCCTCTCCAGCCCCAGGACGCCTGGGGGCCTCAAGCACCACCCCATCACAGCCAAATTCTCAGATTCGGCAAAATATAAGGCGCTCCTTGAAGGAGATTTTGTGGAAAAGGTGGGCTGTTATGCTTGATTATCTGTTAAAGTGGAAGATTTCCGCTGTTGGGAGAATGAAGTGCAAGCTCAGGGTTTACACAGTTCTGTCTCTTCTAGAGCCAGTGACAGTGATGACCTCATGATGACAGAGAGCGAGGTCGGGAAGGTTGCACTCCACATTGAGAAAGAGATGTTCAACCTCTTCCACGTCACTGACAATCGCTACAAGAGCAAGTACCGCAGCATCATGTTCAACCTCAAGGACCCCAAGAACCAGGTGTGTGCCTCATGGTCAGGGCTGGCTTCCTGCTGCAGAGCAGGGGGCACGTGTGCTCTGGGCTCTAGTTGAGTGTCACGTCATTAAACCGTACATAGCGTGAGACAGTCGTACCCTTTCTGCGGAAGTTAGCAGTCATTTTTGTTCCTTTTGACACTGGCCATCGGTGTAGGGAATAGTGGTGCATCCTTCCTTCCTTTCCTTAGCTGCAGCCTGGGCTTCACTGGCTCCCTGAAGTCCATCTGTAGTTCACCAGATGCGTCTCTCTTAAATATGGCCGTAAAATTGCTTTCTCATTATTTCATTGGTTCCAGAATAAAGTTCAAATTCCTTATGGTATGTGGGTATCTCCATATTTGGGCTTTATTGTCATTTCACCTCAGCTGAGCGAGCCTGTCCTCAGGGGTTCCTTAGATGAACTCTGCTGTGCTCACTGTTCGGACAGGTGCTGTGCACACCTGGGTGGGGCACTTGGTTCTCACAGCAGCTGTGGGAGGGCAGTGCTGTGCCCACGGGTAGAGTGGCCTGGACTCTGGCCTGGTGTGGCTCCTGCTTCCTGCACTGGGCTCATGGTTGCCCATTTCTCTGCCTCTTAAACTCTCACCTGTGCTCAGAAGCAGGGTCAGAGGGAAGCTCTGACTTTCCATCTTGCCTCTTAAGCCCTGGCAGAAGAGGTCTCTTCTCACCTTTATCCCTAACACTACCTTTTGGAGTTGATCTATTTTCTGAGGTCTCTCTCTAGCAGTTGGTGCAGCGTGGGCCTCAGGTCAGCTGTACAGGCCCAGTGCCGATGTTTTCTGGGCATGTTAGCTCCCATGAGCTCTTAGGGAGTTGCACACCTTGAGGCCCCTGCTGTGCTGGGTCCGGTGCTTTGGCCTGTGTCACCAGCCTCTGGGCAGGGACTCCACCTACTGCTCTGTTTCCTCCATGCCCTTCCTTGGGTCTTGGAGACATTCACTCAACTATCCTGAACCAGTGAATGAACAATGTTTGTTCACAGGGTCTCTTCCACCGTGTTCTGCGTGAAGAAATCTCTTTGGCCAAACTTGTGAGAATGAAGCCAGAAGAACTTGTGTCTAAAGAGCTTTCCACATGGAAAGAGAGGCCGACAAAACCTGTGAGTGCTAGGGAGTGGCTGCCAGAAGCCCGAGCAGCTGGCCTTGCCCGGAAGTAAAGGCTGCTCTGGGAACAGGAGGGCACCCACTAAGGCTGTCTTCTCTCTTAGGTGATGGAGTCCAGGGCAAGATTGCACCAGGAAAGTAAAAAGACAGCCATCAGGCAGGAGGCCATTCCCGACATGGAAGACTCCCCCCCAGTGTCGGACTCGGATGTAAGCCTGTGGGTTAGGGTTATGCAGTCGCCTTGTCTCAGCGGTTTGTGCTCGGTCTCTTAGCCCATGCCAGACTGGGAAGCAGTGACCCACGCCGTGTCCCCTCTTTTCCTCTTAGGAACAGGAGTCAGTACGTGCTGTGCCCGAGAAAAACGCTGCACCCGCTCTGGACCTCTTCAGCAGCATGTTAAAGGACACGACGGGCCAGCACCGCGCCCACCTCTTCGACCTGAACTGCAAGATTTGTACAGGTGAGTAGGTGAGGGGAGGCCTTTGTTTAACATCGCTGACCCGTGTATGGCAATTGTATTCACCCCAAGTTTAAAACATGACACAGCCGGGATGGTCTTTGGGAGCTTGTGAAGTCAGCCCCTGCCTTTAGAGCATTGCTCCTTTATCCTTGAAAAATGGTCATTTACTTGGGGGCAGACTGTGCCCTCAAACCAAGCCCCTCTTGTGCTACAGGTCAGGTTCCATCATCAGAAGATGAACCGGCTCCAAAAAGACAAAAATTGTCAGCTCCTGCTAAGAAAGAAGAGTCCAAATCCAAGCACGACAGCTCTGCCTGTGAGCCAGCTCTTAGCTCAGCGGGTGAGGCAGTGCCAGAAAGTCTCCCTGAAAACACCTCTGAGCCAGACCCAGAGAGTGCGTCCCAGACTCTCTTGGAAAGGAGGTACTTATCCGAGGCTCCAGGAGACGGCCCGCCTGAGCCCTGTGCCCCGGAAGGGCCTTCTTGCCCAGCCTCCTGTGGGGGCACCGTGCTCACCACTGTCACCATGTCTGGCCGAGACCCCAGGACCGCACAAAGCGCAGCAAGCACAGTCATGACTCCTGCCGCAGCCCTCCCAGGCAGCACCCACCTGGCAGAGCCATCACAAGAAGTCCTAAAGCCTGCTGCGACCGCGGTGCTGGTGCCCAAGTCCATACTAGCCAAGCCGTCCTCATCCCCCGAGCCCAGATACCTGCTGTCGGTCCCGCCGTCCCCAGGCATCAGGTGCGGTGTCCACGTGGGTTCACTTCTCGTAGAGTAACGGGAGGGGCAGAAAGAGTGACTCAGTCCTCAGCTCTGCAGTCGCCCAGCAGCACCGCTGCTCTGGAGGGTTGTGTAAAGCACTCAGTGTCCCACATTTAAGGTGCCGAACACCATTTAGAAATTTAAATCTTGAAAATTTGAATTTATGGCCATCTGGTTTTGTGGCCTATTCAGTTTATTTTTCTTTGACGAGAATATCTGTTTATATCACAATGATTAAAGTAGTTAATTTGAAAAAGTAAGCTACCAAAACCTGCCCAAACTTTCACTTTTGTAATATGTAAAGTCTTCACACTTTGGACGTTCTTTGTGCAAAGAGCTTTACTCCTTTTCTCTGGTTTTGTTTTGCAGCACTGCGGCGTCTCGGTCCCCTCCAGAAGGAGATACGACCCTCTTTCTGTCTCGACTCAGCACCATATGGAAAGGATTTATTAACATGCAGAGTGTAGCAAAGTTTGTCACTAAGGCTTACCCCGTCTCTGGATGTTTTGATTATCTCAGTGAGGTTAGAGCCAAGAGAAAGTGAGAGAGAGAGTGTGTGTGTGTGTGTGTTTGTGTGTGTGGACACCTCTCATAGGCGTTCTGATCCTGTGGGATTGTCTGCCATCGGTGATTGAGCACCTCTGAAGTTACAACGGGGATTGATGGACAAGTCCACAGGTTGAGCAGCTTGGACAGAAATTCCAATGAGTAATTGGGCCTCCCGGCTTCTGTGAAGAAGCCCAGTGGTCTTCCTCCTCTCTCCGTTCTGCTTGGGCATTTACCCAGAGTGTGCAGCCTGCCTTGGTGTGCAGTGACACACACAGTGAACGGAGCCCTGGACAGGCGGTGTTTCTGGAGACACTTGAGTCAGCCCTGCACTCTGTCTTCACAAAGCTAACGCGTGTGTTTGGTACAAGGCTATCATCACCCCCACCATGGGTTTGGTAACACAATCCTGTAGCATTTGGTACAGTTATTACCCTTTTCTTTGGAATCTTGACTCACTAGCTTGGGGCCCTGAAATGACTGTATCAGCCTCTGAATGCTGGTTTACCTGTCACTTATGCAAAGTGCATTTTGTTTAGGACCTGCCCGACACTATTCACATTGGTGGACGGATCGCACCCAGGACTGTGTGGGACTATGTCGGCAAACTCAAATCCTCTGTGTCTAAGGTACTGCTCATTGTCTGCACCACCGAAGAAGGTGCTCGTTCTAACACAGCTCTGCCCTCACTTCTCATCCTGATGGGTTACTATGTGAAATGTCAGCTTCCTAAGTATTTCCAGGTGGATGTTCAAAGTTAAGTTTGGAGCTGGATGAGGCCGGGTGGGAAGAGTGCTGTAGTGCTGAGGTTTGATACTGACTGACCATGGGTACATGCAGGTCATTGTTAGGGTTAGTGAGCAGCCACTCTGTTCCCTGTTGTCCTTGCGACAGAAGGAGTTGACTGGCTTTCCTCTGTGCACCCGAGATTAGCCACAGCCATGTGTGCATGGACAGTGCTCGTGGAGCCAGGCTATCATTTTTCTCAGTTCACAGGGTTTCAGGCCCTCCAGTCTAGCTTAGCCCTCCTGTTAGATAGGCACAGGGAGTTCTGTAGCTCACCACGTCGCCCTGCTCATTGATTGTCCTGGTATGAGAACTCCACAGGTGGGTGCTATTCCGAGGACCCGAGGCTGTGAGTTCAGAAGCCTGGCCCTTGAGCCTGTGCTCTATCTGCCGCTCCATTGCTAACAGGACTGAAATTGAAGTCAGAACCGCATCTCTCTTGTTCAGATCGATGCTGTTTTCGGCACCGCAGGCCAATGCTCCCTGTCCTGTTTGTGTTGCAGGAGCTGTGTCTGATCCGCTTCCATCCCGCCACGGAGGAGGAGGAGGTGGCCTATATATCTCTCTACTCCTATTTTAGCAGCCGCGGCCGCTTTGGCGTTGTTGCTAACAATAGTAGGCACATCAAGGACCTCTACCTGATCCCACTGAGCTCTGAGGACCCTGTTCCATCCAAGCTTTTGCCCTTTGAGGGACCAGGTAAGCACCTCTGGTCACACATGTCCCCTTCCCCTGACACCGAGTCCTACTGACCTGTCACCAGTGGTCGTAACCCCGCCCCCCACTGTCTGTCTGTCTGTCTGGCAGCAGGAACTAGCAGTCACATGAAGCTACATTGAGCTGGACAGTGCAGCTCTAGGCTTGGTACCCTTATTATTGGCATAAATTGTCTTAGAAAAGTTTTATGAAGGGAAAAGCCCTCAGCGTTCCACCAGCCTTTCACTTTCACGGCCTTGGTCCCAGGAGTCTGGACAGGACAGGAGGGGAGGAGAGGTGGAGAGGCAACACTTCACAGCGCTGGTCACTGCCGCCTCCCCCAGGGGGTTTCTGTGGACACCCCGCTCAGGAGGTGAGCAGGTGCCACTCGGAGGCGCTCTCTGCCTCTGTCAGGGAGTCATTTTCAAGAGATACAAGAACAGGTAGTGAAGGAGAAAAATTTGAGAAATACTTTTAAATCTGTTCAAGTTTTAATTTTTAATAAGTTATTTCATCTTTTGCAAAATACTTAGTGTTTACTCCTTCCTTATAAAGTGCTGCTTTTAAATGATTTCTTACAAATTAACCTTTAAAAATGTCAGACTTGTCAAAGGGTTGAGGGTGATTCCAAAGGGACATGGTCTGTGGGGTTTCAGCTCTTTGTAACCTGAGAAGAAGCTGGTGCAAGATGTCTAAATTGATGTGTCTCCTTGGCTGTGAAGTCCCCCAGGATTAACAGTGCCAAGAAGATGACGAGACACATGGTGATGCTCTTTGAAGGGCTTTGTCCTAGAGGCAGTGACTGAACCCTCTGACCATCACTGGGGCTGCCTAGACCATGGCACCTTCATGCCTTGGCCTCATCACCAGGGCTTGGCGAGTGCTCCCACCACAGCCACATACTGCACTCACACCACACCTACACTAGCTGGGCCCTGGCTGTCGCCCCACTCCCACAGGCACACCCAGTCCTGGCTGGGGCACACGCTTAACACAGGTGGCTCAGTGTGCCCTGATTTCAGAATTGTGTCCACAAAGGGGTTGGTGTCAGTAACCCCAGGTTCAGTACTTACTGACACAATCATCAAGCTCTCTTCATGCGGAATACATTTTAAAAGCCAGGCACTCAGGGTGTCCTCTCATACTCCTTGGGGATAAAGAAATGCCACCTGGCGGTGGGTGGCAGAAAGAACCTTGGTGGAGGTTCTTGGTGAGCAGCTCTGAAGAGGCTGGCGAGCTCCCTGATGACCATGAAGGGCAGCATCCTGTGTCCCTGAAGGTGAGAGAACGAAGCTGACTTCTCAGACACCTGTGAGGAGCCTCCGGTCAGTCACGAGTGCCTCGCTGTGCGGGTCCAGTGGGCATGTGGCTGGGCAGCATGACAGCCCGAGTGCAGAGCCCTTTTTGTTTGCAGAGGTGAGTTAGCAGGTCCTGGGCCTACTCCCCTCATCAGCCTCATGCGCTGCTTTGAGCTCCCATTGCCCATCTGCAGACTCACTTGGCCGAGGAGCCTGAGTAACACCTGGTTTGGGGCGCTGACCGTCAGACACACTGGAGACGGGCCGAGTGGACCTCACACTCCTGGGGCTTGGACACTCCCTGGGGGGACATCCAAAGGACCCACAGCTTTTCGTCCATAATAAAGAACAAGTAGTGACAGGTTTTAGAAACTAATCATGTTTTGCCCCTAAGCTCTTAAAGATTTAATTTAAGGGCTTCTAAATGCAAGCCTGCTTAATTTAGTCTGTTATTTTTTATTTTGATATTATTTTTTATATATGCATTAATATCCATGTATATCTTTCATACACTTCACATCACCTAAAACCCGCTTCCAGGCAGGGCCTAGCTGCCTGCTTCATGTGTTTCTAGTGTGACATGGTTCACTCCAGCTGCAGTGTCCTGTGCCATGGTGGTATCGTGTGTGTGTGTCCTGTGTGCGCGTGTCTGTGTGTCTGGTGTGTATGTGCACCTGCAGTGGGAGGTTGGGTGGAGATGCTTCTCCTATCGTGGTGGTCCCTGTCCTCACTGAGCTCATCTCTGCAGAGCATCCTTCGAAGGCACAGGCCCAGTCTCAGAGTGGTGGTGATGTCCCTCAGCAGAGCAGCCAGCAGGTGTGACCACGTGCCACCCGGCAAGCACTGGCATCATGGCTTGACCGGAGCACCCTTGACCCCACTGCAGCCCTGTGCTGTCACAGTTGTCATTCACCTGAGGTCGCACCCAGTTAGGTGTCGAGCCAGGGTGGCTGTCCTGAGGCTTGCACTCTATCCCTCTCAGTTCTCTTTAGGGCAAGAAGCACAGGCCTGGGTGGGGCCTGCCTGCTGTGGGGGTGGAGAAATTGCAGAGAGGGACCAACTCGCACACCACATACAGAAGGTGCAGGGTCCTCCCTCCCCTGACCTCAGGAACCCGGTAGAGTGACGAGCTCTTGCTGTCCACACCTAAGAAGCCAGTAAAGCCCTAACCCGTTTGGCTCAGTGGGTAGAGCGTCGGCCTGCGGACTCGGGGGTCCCAGGTTCGATTCCGGTCAAGGGCATGTACCTTTTTTGCGGGCACATCCCCAGTAGGGGGTGTGCAAGAGGTGGCTGATCGATGTTTCTCTCTCATCAATGTTTCTAACTCTCTATCTCTCTCCCTTCCTTTCTGTAAAAATATCAATAAAATATTTAAAAAAAAAAAATAAGAAGAAGCAGCCAGTAAAGATGCTGGCGGCCCTGACACCGAGTTCAGATCCAGTAAGTCTGCACTGGCCACCCTCACATAGTCGGGGCCTCCCGTCTCGGCCATGCTCTACACAGCAGACCTGGGAGCTGTGCCCATAGCCCCTTGGCCGTCCGCCAGCCCTACGAGCAGCCTGCTCAGGTTCCAGGATGCTCTCACCCTTGCGTACTTTAGAGTTGTCCTCAGAAATGCCAGGTGGTCTCGTGTGACAGCGACGTTTTCATAACGTGGCAGTGTTATTTCAGAGGACAGCTGTAAAGCTGGGTCCCTTTGGTCCAGCTGGAAGTCATCCACTTTGGGTGCTAGCTCAGCCCTGCCACGCCCTGACATCTTCGCCACTGGGGACAAGGGTCAGGTGGTCTGCACACCCCGGGGCTTATTTGTGAAGGAAGACAGATCAGATTGGATGCTTGTCTTGTACGGTTCCTGTGCAGCCCAGCAGGACTGGACCTGGGCTGGGACTCAGCCCTCACAAGTAACAGGCAAGGGCTCAGGTTCCGCTTCGCAATGGCTGTTGCGGAACCTGGTGTCTAAGGTGTAGGTGTGCGCTGACAGGGCAGGGACTGCCTCCGAATGCTCCGCGGAGAGGCCCCTTAGAGATTCACAGCCATAGTGTACCTGTGCTCCCTTCTCACTGCTTTCTAAACTAGCTGGACATTCTGTGACTTAAATGTCAGGTAAGCATTTCTTTGTGTGTGTATCTAGTTGTGCACTGTGATCCGAGACAAATGTAGTATTGAATGTATTAGTTTCTCCTTCGAAATCAATAAAGTACATTTCCTGGAAACTGGTTGTTGTTTGTTTGAATCTGAACCATGTAGTAGCTCTCTGTACCTGTCGTAGGTGCACTGATGGAGGGCAGAGTCCCCACTTTGCTTTTTATAAGCCGACATGACTTACCTGGTCCTTCAGCCTCAGGTGTGCGGGCTGAGCTGCTTGGGCCACCTGGATGGAGATGGACAACACTCAGGCATGCTGAGCCCAGCGGCTTTGTACAGGTCGTGTGAATTTTACGTGTGCATGTGTGTGTGTGCTTGCGTGTGGACTGGGGCAGGTACCCCGCCCCCCCCTGTATGTGCCTAGTCTTTTCTATCCAGTCACATTAAGGATGGTCACTGCATGACTCCCACACTTTTCTGTCCAGCAGGTGGGGAAATAGTGTTGGGACAAATTCAGACCATAACAGGGTTTTCCTTTTCAATGGAGTAGGGTGTGTGCCCAACAGGTTTAAGGTTAAAAAGCAACATTTTGATAGTTTGGGGGTTAAGGAACCAGTTATTAAAATTAAGCTTCATCCATGGTGTGCTGGGCTGGAGGTATGTGGGGCCCCAGGGCTGCTTCCTTCCTTGCCACTTCACCTCTTGCCTCCTGTGGCTGACACACCTGGACATGGGTCCTGGTTTGGTCTGGACTCAGGAAGTCAGGTGGCACCTGCCTCTCTAGATGTCACAGTCCCTGGGCTTCCCAGTTTCCTCTGTGCTGTTGGGTGATCTGATGTTAACACTGAGCTGAGGCTGCCCCTCCCCTGATCACTTCGGAACAGATCTGAGCAGCTAAACGGGCTTATTTTTATCCACACAGTACAGTCTGAGGTCACTGTTGCTCTGGCCCTGCAGAGGAGGGGTCCCCCTGGCTGCCAGGACTCCTTGTCTGGAAATGCAGGATGGCCCAGTTAGCAGCCCCTCCCCCTCACCAGCCAGTGTTTGTTTTCATCTGACTTAGGAATTTAAGCCTCAGCAACCCTCAGAAGGGAGGTGGGTAAGAGCATCTCCTGCTTCTAACAATGGAGACGGATCCCCTGTCTCCATTGGGCTCGAGCCTCGGTCTCCTCACTGCAGCCAGCGTGGTCCCTGCTCTGCACCTTCTCAGCACCCACTCTTCTCTCCAGGGTGATGCTCCAACAGTGGGGTGAGCGGGAGGGGCCCAGGCCCAGAGGGGTATTCGGGTGGGTGGGGAGAGCTGGCCTGCCGCCACCTCCCAGCAGTGGGTGACCTCCCTTAGAGCACCCGTCTCAGTGAAGGTTGCCCCTAAGGCCCAGTGCAGATCAGTGAACTTTATTTTTTGTTCCTGTGCATATTATTTCCAAAGAACTAGTTACCTTTCAAACATCCTTGCAGCTGTAACATGAACATATGAATCAGATAAGATTTGACGGCTTCAAAACAAGATTATGCATTTTGAGAGCCCAGTTTAAACTTCACATCTTGTGGAGGAATTCAAAACTAATGCCCACCCAACTCTGGAGCTGTTAGATTGCTCACGGGTGTGTGCAGGTGCAGGCGCTGAGAGCTGAGGCAGTCAGTCTATCTGCTGTTAGATGCCCATCTCCAGGTCGCTTCCTGTCTCTGAATGTAAATATTAAGAAATATAACTAACCTTACCTTTGAATATGACAACAGGTTAGTCTAAACGATTTTCTTAAGAGTGGGATGTACTGTTTTCTTCAGAAAGCATATTAAGCCATTAGACATTTTAGTTGGTGGGGTACACACATCACTGGGCTGGAGACCATGGCTTCCTGGGTGGAGCACAGTGACTTCCCACCACAGCTCTTTGACCTGGAGTTTCATTGGTGCCACGAGCCTGCTGTTGGCACTTGAGAAGTTGAACTGTTCCCTGTGAGGTGGCACAGCGCCTCCGCTGGTGACCAGTCCAGTGCTGTGGACTGCCAAGGAGGCTTCCCCACACCGGGGCTCCCAGCCTTGCCCACAACACCCATGGGGCCGAGCACAGTCCTTTAGTTCTGCCAGGTTCCCTAGAGACAAGAGGTTTACAGGGCTGTCCCCTAGTGGGTTCCGTGGGTGTCTGCATGTGCACCTGCTCTGCAGCTCTGGGGCTATGGTCCAGACAGGCCTATTGAAGTCAACTATACCCCAAAACTGGGTCTGAGTAAGCTGTCAAACATTCAATAAATACATTCTGTCTATGAAAACAGAAGTACTGTATAAGTTAACCTTGATTCATGTTAATTATAAAACAGACTTGATAGATTCCCCTTCATACCTACTGACACTCTAGTCTGCCTAACCTTCCAGCCCTGTTCCCTCTGGCCAGCTCGTCCTTTCCCCGACACACGGCTGTTCTCTGGAGCCATTTCTCTCATGAAGGTGGGGGTGAGGTCCTGGGAGTTAGGTCTTCAGTGGGCACCTCACCTCACACGGCAGCGTGAGCAGCAGGGAGGTCAGCACAGCATTGTTAGTCTGGCTGTGCTGGGCCACCCAGCCCTGGCATGCCTGCTCCTGGGGCCGGAGGGTACCTCCACCACCCTCGTGGGCCCAGCCTGTCAACCTGTCTCTGTGGGAATTTCAGAAGATTAGCAGAACTGCATCATGAAGTGATCTGTGATCATCTTTAAAGTCATACAATAGGAAAAACAATACTTGATTTCTTGTTTAGTAAGTAAGAATGTCACGTGACTATATACCACAGTGTTAAATTACCTATAAATTGAATTTATACATTTTAATTACTTTTAATTATATTCTGCTATCATGAAACAAACTTTCTGTGTGGCAGCATTTCTCCCTAAATTACTGCTTTATGAGTTGGGCTTTTTTGTTTCCTTGTGGTAGTCTGGACTTACTCTGACTGGGGGGAGGGGTTGTTATAAAATCTTAGTATTCCTGAAATAATGCGCCACACCTTGCAGTGTTTGGAATAAGCCTTTCTTAAGAAGGAATGATTTACCTGCTGTGCCCTAAGATGCTGGTGTGCTTTCTCTGCCACCAGCTTGCTGAACTCCTCAGCGCTGGATTTAAGCGCCATGTCCTGTGTTTACAAAGACTGAGCATTGGACAACTCTTGGTCAGTTAGTGCTTATGGAATGTCTCTCTAAACCTGAAAGAATATTTATTTTAGCCATTTCAGTCAGCAGCATTTTCCCCATTGAGTGTAATTTTCACATTGGCTATCAGTGAACTTACCTAATGGAGTAGGCTGCATTGATCACTATAATTTTATTGATCATATACCTGAGTTGTTGAACTAGTCCCTAATCAAATGTTTAATATTAGTACATTTAGCTTAATGTAGGTATTGAAACTCCGGAGTTAAAGGCCAGGAGGGTGTGTAGCAAGAGCCAAGATTTGCTCAACAGCTACCCCGACTCATTTGAGCTTTGTTCCCTGTGGTTGGTTAATGATGGTGCCGTCGGCACAGGGCCACCCCCTCCTCTACCGCACTGCTGCTTGAGTATTGTGTATAATTTTAAATCTGTAACATAAATTCTGACACCACCTGTGTGTGCTCTGTTCTTTGCAGTAAGTCCTTCAAACACTTGATTTTGTCTTACACAGGATTTCTGCCTATGAAAACATTCCCCACTACCACCCTTAATAAAGTTCACCTCTGAAGGACAGAGTGGAATTTAGATCCTAAAATTTGCACATATATTTTGTTTTTCAGGTCTTGAGTCACCACGGCCAAACATAATCCTTGGGTTAGTAATCTGTCAAAAAATAAAACGTCCTTCAAATGCTGGAGACTTAGACAAGACAGAGGAGAAGCGGGCCCGACTGCAGACACCGGAGGAGACAGACATGGCGGTCTACCCCAAAGTGCCTCCGGCCTCACAGGCTGAGAAGAAACCCCCCAAATATCAGCACAGCTCTGGGGACACAGCTGTCAGCACCACCCCCCCGGGGTCTCCCCCACCCCCGCCCCCTCTGCCAGAACCGCCAGCTTCGTCCTCGGTGCTGAAAATACTGTCCTCCCTCAAGCCAGGAGCCACCAACACCGTCACCGTGCCAACAGCACCAGCAGCAGTCACGGGGGCTGCTTCCTCTGCCTCAAAATCAGCTTCGCCGCTGGAACACATCCTGCAGACTCTGTTTGGGAAGAAGAAATCATTTGACCCTCTGGCCGTGGAGTCTGTGGAGTCGGCCTCCACCTCCCGCCCAGACACCAAGGCCAAGGCTGAGTGCGAGCTGCCGGCAGTGCCTCTGCTGGACCCCATCGTCCAGCAGTTTGGTCAGCTCTCCAAAGAGAAAGTTCTAGAGGAAGAGGAAGACGACAGACCCTATGACCCTGAAGAAGAGTATGGTCCTGACAGGGCCTTCGAGACACAGCTCGGGGACCGAGGGAAACGGCACGACATGGAAAAGGCCTCTGAGACCACTGAGCGGGAGGAGGTGGCCTATGACCCAGAGGACGAGACGATTTTAGAAGAAGCCAAAGTGGCCATCGACGACCTGCCCAACAGGATGTGCGCAGACGTCAGGAGCTCGACGGAGAGGCCGGCGGGGTTCGCAGCCGACATGGCTGCTCCCTCTCTGGTGGAGCAGCAGCAGATGATAGAGGAACTTAACAAGCAGATTGAGGAGCAGAAGAGACAAGTGGAGGAGCAGGAGGAGGCTCTCAGGCAGCAGCGGGCCGCCGTTGGGGTCTCCATGGCCCACTTCTCAGTGTCGGATGCGCTGATGTCGCCGCCTCCAAAGTCCTCACTGCCCAAGGCCGAGCTCTTCCCCCAAGAGCAGCAGGCTGCCGGCAGGCCAGCCGGGCCCCCCACCAGTCAGGGGCCAGGCCCTGGCTCTGACCCAAGACAGAGTCGGGACCCCCGGCAGGCCCGGCGGCTGGCCGCGGAGAGCAATGAGAGCGAGAGCTTCTCGAAGGCCCCGGCCAGCAGCATACCCAGTGCCCTGCCCACCAGAGAAGCACCCAGCGGGGTGGCCACTACTAGTCAGGGGCCTGTACCTGCCCCAGAGGAAAAGGAGCCCACCCCTCCGCCCTGGGCTCCAGGTGATGGGGCCACCCTGCCAGCCAAGCAGGATGGCCCCACAGGTGAGCCCTCAGAAAGCCAGGGCCCGCCGGCCACCGACAGCAGCCCTCCCATGACAGGCGGGCCAGGCCTGGCGCGGCCCGCCCGAAAGGTGCTGCTGCCCACGCCGCCCAGCACCGCCTTCCAGCCCAACTTCTCTATGCCAGGTGAGGGGCACAATTTCAGTTCTGCAGGAAGAGACCCATTTTCAAGCCCAGTGTTTGCGTCTCAGGACAAATCCTTCGGCTCGTCTCCATATGAGGATCCAAGAAATGCCCTGTTTGCTGAAAAAAGTGACCGTTCGGCTGTTGAAACTGAAGGAGACAGAGACCCACAGTGCAGACCTGGAGAGGGGGCCAACCCATTCCCGCCCCCTGGACAGAAAGGGACCCCTCTGCCCCAGTTACAGGGCCAGCGTGAGCCTGCTCCCCACACTTTCGGAACATTGGGACTTCATGGCCCGAGCTTCCCAGGACCGCGGGGACCAGTGGCTCCGTTTTCAGAAGACGGTGTCATTTCTAACAACGATGGAGCAAGAGGGCCTCCGCCGGCCAGATTTGGAGCTCAGAAGGGGCCCATCCCTTCCTTATTCTCAGGGCCACATGGGCCACCTCCCTACGGGGACAACAGGGGCCCATCACCCTCTCACCCTGGTGGGCCCAGAGGATCAGCACCACCCCAATTTGAAGAACGCAAGGATCTGCACGGGGAAAAAAGGGAATTCCAGGACGCCCCATACAATGACATGGCTGGGCCTCCTGCCCAGTTTGAAGGACCAGAACAAGGCCCGTTGGTGGGAAGCAGAGGCGCAGGCCCCTTCCAGTTTGGAGGCCCACGGAGGCCTCTGCTGGCCCCGTTTAAAGGGCCCCGAGGAGGCCCACCTCCGTCTCAGTTTGGGGGTCAGAGGGGACCACCCCCTGGCCATTTTGTGGGTCCAAGAGGTCCGCATTCTAGTCAATTTGAAAGCACCCGGGGCCCCCATCCCAATCAGTTTGATGGGCCCAGAGGTCAAGCCCCAAATTTCATGCCAGGACCCAGGGGAATTCAGCCTCAGCAGTTTGAAGAGCAAAGGGTGAACTCACCACCCAGATTTTCGAATCAGAGGGCCCCAGCACCCCTTCAGTTCAGTGGGCCAAGGGGTTCTGTGCCTTTCCCTGACAAGAGTGAGCCTGCCCCTCCCCGGTTCCACTTCCAGGGCCAGTCCCCTCAAGTGATGAAGCCGGTGCCCAGACCCCTGCTGGAGTTGCCCAGCCACCCACCCCAGCACCGCAAGGACCGGTGGGACGAGACAGGCTCAGCCCCCAACCTGCCCTCGGGGGCTCCCGGACCAGCCCCCGAGGCCGAGGCGCAGTGGGCCCCATCCAAAGGCCCGGAGTACAGAAACCAGCCCAGGCCCAAAGAGAAGCTGCTGGACGAACCTGAGGGCCAGCCTGAGAGCCGGCAAGGCCGCACCTTCGAGGACCGACGGCGGGAGCGGGAGCACGAGCACGGGAAGCCCTGGGAGCGGGAGCGCAGCAGGAACTGGAGCCGGGAGCGGGACTGGGACCGGGGTAGGGAATGGGACAGACACCGTGAGAAGGACTCCGGCCGAGAGCGCAATGCAAACAGAGACCGGGAGCGGGAGTGGGACCGGAGCCGGGAGCGCAGCCGGAACAGGGACCGGGACAGGGACCGAGACCGGGACCGGAGGCGGGACAGGGATAGGTCTCGCAGTAGAGACCGGGACCGTGACAAGGGCCGGGAGCATGAGCGAGGCGGAGACCGCAAGGACCGCAGCAAAAGCAAGGAAAGCACTCGGGACCCAAAGGCTGAGGCCCTGGCCCCGCGGGCCACCGACCCCGCTGCCCACACCTAGGCCTGGTCGCAGCTGGGCACTTCCTTTTAAAAGCCAAGTTCATAAAATGTGTTGAACAAATTGTTTTTGAAATAGCTATGAACGTAGATGAAGAATAGAATATTCTGGACTTCAAAAATTACTGTAATTTTGTGTATGATGGTTTCCTACAAAATTTCATGTCTTTATAATTCTGATGCTTTTTTAAAGAAATGTAAGAACTCTTAATTTTTCCATTTAAAATTACTGAAATGGGAAAGTGTCTACAGAAGCATATTGCTTTTTCAGATTATAAAGTTATCTTTTCCAATAACTTGACTGACTATGGTAAATTTTAAGGGAATTCTGTGGACCTCAGAGCCATACCTTTGCTGACACCTCGTCTGTATTTCTAGGTTTCCAAAAGCTGTTTCTGCAGGTTTCGCCGGCTCTGGAGGGTGGTGTGCTTCGTGGGAGCGCCCTCGGCGGGCCGCGTGTGCGCACCAGAGCCGTGCTGTGAGCCCTCTGAAATGGAGAAACACAAACTTCCGAATGCGGTTTCCTTTTTTCCTAAAGAGATTTGATTAGAAATTTCAACCAGGAAACAATACATTGTTTCTTAGTTGTGCTCAGTTTTTTATATATCACCTCATACATTTTCTTTTTTTCAAAAACATTATTAAAAGCAACATCTGTTTGAGTACAAATGGTTGCATTTTAAATAACAATTTATTGGAAAAGGTTTCGATTTTACCAGCCTAAAGGTAAGAAAATATACCAATTAAGTGTACTTTGGAGGGGGGTTTCTTTTATCTCAGTAATCAGGAACATTTTGTTTGTTGAACTTCACCTTCTGCACAGTTCTTCCTTCGTCCCAGGAAAAGTGCACTAGCTCTAAACCGTTATATTTGTCAGGGGGTAAATTTTAAAGTTTGTCTTTGAAAACAAAACAATATTTGTATAAACTCTGAGATGGAAAATAGTGATATTAGTTCAAGAACGAGCAAGTAGAAAGCATCCACTGTGAGATAGTGCGCTGCTTCTTGCTATGTATTTTTCAAGTTCTGAGGTGTGAGAAAGAGAAAACCTTGCTAATTTATTTGACTGTACAAATACACTTTGATAATTTTTTTATATTTTCATAAACTTACTTTTGCAAATGTAAAATTAGAGCGTCTTTTTTGTTCTCTGGAGTCTGTTGCTCACTGCCTTGCTCCAGATTTCCTTCTCCCGGGGACGGTGGGCTGGGCGCCGTCCAGGGCGAGCAGTCTGGGAGGCTGGTGCCGGGAGCCAGAGTCCCAGGTAAGGCACAGTCAAGCGGTGTTGAGTTCCAACATCTAATAGGATGGGAAGGTTTTTACATGTAACACAAGTTTTTCTAATCTACACAAATGTAAAAATCCAGTGTGTGTCTTTAGGTTTACTCGATAGGATTTTCTGTAACTTGTATTTTATAGCGCAGAGTACTATATCCCTGTCCATTGAAACGTGGAACTTGGGATGTTTTGTTACTTGAAGTAGAATAAACATCTACAGAGGTTTTCTGTCTGTGTGATCGCATCCTCTCCACGTTGGAAAGTTGGGGCTGGAAAGGGACACCTTGGCCACCCCTTCTTGCCAATGGACATGGCAGGGGCTGCGCTGCCCTTTGGCCCTCAGATGCCTTGGAGGTGAGCCCACTCCATGACCGGCTGGTGGCCAGATGCACTGGCTTCAGGGGACTTGCTGCCAGTGCAGCTGACACCCGACCTCATCAAGTTGGGTCAACTCCCTGCACTGCGTTCGTGTGTTGGGACTGTCAGAGCAGGAAGCTAAGCTCACAGCAAACCAGCGGGGGGCCCTGAACACAAGGGCAGTGTGGGGGGGTTTCAAAAGGGACCCTGGCATGGGGCAGTCCCACTGCTACAGACCACTGTCCCTGGAAGGTGCTGGACAACCCCAAGGCCCAGCCCAAGGGGCGAGCCCTGACCTTGGAGATGGCCCCGGCTAGCTGAGGTTCTGCCAAGTGGTAAAGCTGGATTCTGGCTGGATGCTCCCTACACTGTCAGGGCACTTCCCCCAGGACACTGAGAAGTCCTGTCAGTCCTGTCGGGCTCCTCTGACGGTTGGCCTCCTGCATCCAGCCTGAAGCCCATCTTGTGTCTTGTACACACTCCATGACACCTCCCGCTTCCTGCCCCCCCAGCACCCTGCCTGTCCTCCAGCCGTGACTCCCCTTAGTGTCAGGCGGGTACAGGTGCTGCTCAGAGCTCAGCTCTCTGGGAACCTGAAGAGTGAGGGCTGGAGGACAGCCCAGGAGCCAGCAGCTGTGTTTGCCTGTCGGGGGAGTGCCTGGGGGCTTCTACTCACTGTCACTCCTGGTCCCTGCACTTCAGCCTCTCAGCTGCTGTGAGGGAGAATGAAGGGGGCTGTTTTGCCCCAGCTGATGTGTTTCAGCGGTTAGAGCATCGGCCCATGTACCCTCGGGTCTGGGGTTTGATTCCTGGTCAAGGGCACGTACCTGGGTTGGAGGCTCGATCCCCGGCCCCTGGTTGGGACGCGTGCAGGAGGCAACTGATCTTGATGTGTCCCTCCCACATTGATATTCTCTCTCTCCCTCCCTCCCTCCCTCCGTCCCTTCCACTCTCAAAAAAAAAAAAAAAATCAATGGAAAAATATCATCAGGTGAGTATTAACAAAAAAAAAGAAAGAGACTGTTTCACCAGAAAGCCCAAGGTGCTGGGGCCTCTGCTCCTCCCACCTCCTGCCCCACCAGCACAAGGACAGGCAGACAGGTGCCTGGGAGGGGACACAGCTCACAGCAGGGACCACACTATGGCCATACTCTTGAAGGGGCCTGAGCCAGCAGAACTGACCATCTGCAGGCACGCCTGCCACATCTGTTCCTCTAAAACTTGAGGCCGGCCAGGCTGTGTCACACGGCCATCCCTCCTGCAAGGGAAGAAATCAAGGGTGTGAGTAAAAACCAGGAGGAATTAAGCCTTAGTGGGGACCACCACAGTGTCAGAAAACCGACCATCACAAGTGCTGGTGAGGACTCAGGCCCGTCCCTCAGGGCTGCTGGGAGGGGCAGGTGTGCTCACCTGCAGGGCAGCTGCAGTGTCCTACCGGCGGGTTGGTGGGTGAGATGCCACATAACCCGCAGTCCCCGTGCACGTTCAATGAGCAGTACTGGCCAGGATCTTAGGTGTTGCCCAGGCCATGTCCGCAAAGGGCCCGGCCCCCCAAAGGCCCCAGGAAGAGATGCACAGAACCTCTGTGGCCGCGATGTCACAAGGGGAGAGGACAATTAAAAACCATTTAAAGAGGCTCGTTAGGGAGGAGTAATTTTTAAAAGATTGAGAAACTGCCCTAAACCAAGACTCACCTTCAAGTCTATAAGTATTTATCGAAATTTATTCAAAATTGCCCAAACGATCAACCACCCAAATACTCTTTTCTAAAAAAATAGATTTTTATTGATTTCAGAGAGGAAGGGAGAGGGAGAAGGAGAGAGAGAGACAGAAACATCAATGATGAGAGCCCTAGCCGTTTGGCTCAGTGGATAGAGCGTCGGCCTGTGGACTGAAGGGTCCCGGGTTTGATTCTGGTCAAGGGCACATACCTTGATTGCAGGATCTTCCCTGGCCTGGGTCCTGGTCAGGACTCATGCAGGAGGCAACCAATCGATGAATTTCTCTCACATCTATATTTTTCTCTGTCTTTTCCTCTCTCTTCCACTCTCTCTAAAAATCAATGGAAAAATACCCTCGGAGGAGGATTTAAAAAAATAAATAAATAAAAGAAACATCAATGATGAGAGAGAATCATTGATCGCAGCCTCCTGCATGCCCCACATTGGGGATCCAGCCCACAACCTGGGCATGTGGCCTGACTGGGAATTGAACCGTGACCTCCTGGTTCATAGGTCGACGCTCAACCACTGAGCCACGCCAGCCAGGCCCAAATATGCTTCAATTAATGAAAAGTAGAGGCCCAGGCCCAGGGACAGCAAGAAAGCCAGTGGGGAGAGGGTGAGTTTCAGGGAAAGAAGCCACACTGCAGCCACCAGCCGGAGGATCCTGTCACGTGACATTCAGGAGAAGGCAAACACTGCCTCCCTCTCAGGGTGGCAGAAGCACACCTGGCCCAGAATTGAGGCTACTCGGGTCAGCTCTACCAGGGGAGTCACTCCCGCTGACCCACCTCAGCCCTCGGGGCACACCCAGCCGAGTGTCTGTGCTTCTCTTCTGGCCTTCAGATCTCAGGCAGCCAGGTCTCGGTGACCCTCTTGGCCTGGAACAAAGACCCAGCCCCGGCCAGCCACCAGGCCCTCGCACCCTCTAAGCCATAATCTCCCAACAAAGACAGTAACAAAGCCTGCGCCCACCTCACGTGAGACACCATCCCGAAACCACAATGCCGACCCCCAGGAGACCACGCTTCCGTGAGCTGCCGCCCTGCACACTCTGGGAATAAGGCCAGCTCTCTTGTCACATCTCCCGCTAGCTGACAGCACAAGAGGAAAGGGAAGCCGAGGCAAGTGATTAATAGACACACAAACATGTTCCTGTCAAAGTCAGAAGAGGCACTTCAGTATGACATCCTTATTTCTGCAGCTGGTCACATGACCGCCACTGGTGTTCATAACGACCCCATTCCCCTGCCCAGTCCGTGCTCCCTGTGCTGGTCGGGTCCCCAGCCTGGTAGGAGACCTGCTTTCCTTCCTGCTGGGTCTGTGCTGTGGGAGGTCCTGGCTGAATTATCACTGTCATTCTCTACCAACTATAATCACAGGATACGGGGTGCTCAGAGCCGGCCAGCCCCTGACAGGCCAGTCCCCAGGCTGGCACAGTCTGCTATCTTTCCCCTCGAGAAGGTGCTCCTTCCCTTGGGCTGAGCCCTCTAGAACTTAAACTTGCAGGAACGGAAAGCACAGATTTTTCCAGTGGATCAGCAGGGCTAATTGTGACAGGTCCCTGAATCCTGGCTTTGAAGCCAGACCACCAATACTGGTTGCTAACTCAGAGCATATACTGTGTCCTGAAGACATCAGCCGGCCCTGTGCCATGCTGCACCTCGCCAGCTCTGTAATTGGGTCCACAAAAGATCATGGGACACACCTATCAGAACAGCCAAAACCCAGAGCACTGACAACACCAAGTGCCGGCGAGGACGCGGAGCAGCGGGAACTCCCCTTCACTGCTGGTGGGAAGGCAGGGGCGCAGCCACTTTGGAAGACAGCTGGGTGGTCTCTTACCAAACTGAACAGATTCGTGTACCCAAAGGAGTTGAAAGCTGATGTCCACATAAAACCTGCACATGTATGTTTATAGTCATCCTATATAATAAAACCCTAATATGCTAAGTGCCCGGTCATCCAGTCATCCATTCAACCAACCAAAGCGTAATATGCTAATGATATGCTAAGGCTGCTCAACCACTTGCTATGATGTGCACTGACCACCTGGGGGCAGACGCTCCCATCTATAGGTTAGTTTGCTGCTGGGGTCCGGCTGATCGGGACTGAGTGAGACAGGCTGGACATGCCCTTGAGCCCTCCCTCAGTCCCTCCCTGGCTGGCCACCTCCCACATCCCTCCCCGGCCCGATTGTGAATTGTTGGGGTCCCTTGGCCTGGTCTGTGCCCTCTCGCAATCCAGGACCCCTCAGGGGATGTCGGAGAGCCGGTTTTGGCCCCATCCCACAGGCCAGCCCGAGGGACCCCACTGGTGCATGAATTCGTGCACTGGACCCCTAGTTTTATTCATCATCACCAACACTTGGAAGCCACCAAGATGTCCTTCAGCAGGTGGATGGACAGGTCAGCCAGACAGGGGAATATTATTCAGCACCGAAAAAGAAATGAGCTGACAAGCCATGACAAGACAGGGAGGAATGAAATGCATGACTGAGTGGAAGAAGCCAATCTGAAAGGAATCAATCTGTGACTCCAACTATGTGACATCTGGAAAAGGCAAAACTGTGGAGACAGTAAAGATCAGTGGTAGCCAGGGGTTGAGGGGAGGGATGAAGAGGTGGGGGGGCACAGAGGATTTTAGGGCTGTGAAAGGATTCAGTGTGATATCCAACATACATGTTCTATACCTGTTAAATTTATTTTTTTTATTTTTAAGTAATTTTTATATATTTTAAAGCAAATGATTTAAATGTGCAGCTACTGAACAC